ACATACATACATACATGCATACATATAAATGTATTTGGCAAAGCTATAGGACAGTTTGCCCTGTCTGTTAAGGAAAATCTTAACAGACAGTTTAACTGGTTTCTAAACCAGTTAAACTGGTTATAAACCATGACAGCTAACCCCACGACATTGGCATAAAGCAGACAGAGCTTGTCACTCAGCTGAAACTAAGTGTTCAGAAGAAGTTGGAGAATCAGTACTTACCAAGCGTCACAACAAATGACAGAGACAGCAGAACAGTCACCAAGCAGACCCAACCTGCCGCTGCCATAGTTCTTATCTGAGGGAATCAACAGACTGCATTTCAGTAAAGTCCGGTGTGATTTTCTTGAGAACACGAGCCATCCTGTCAGGCGAGCGTGTTCTTTGCAGTGTATACAAGTTTCTTGACATACTTCCTGGGGAGCACAGCTTCCCTTAAAGGGAAGTGAAAGATGGAGTGTTCTCAGCTCTCACAAGGAAGTCAGAGCCAAAACACTCCCAGTAAAGTCCCAGGAAGTTCCACTGATTGGTGTTTCTTTGTCAAAGGTTGAGAAAAAAAATTCTCTTTGTCATTTGCAGTAACTCTCTGCTGATGTAAATCATTCATGCGTCTTTGTTACGTCATTGAAAAGTAATAATTCATATATGAATTGCACTCATTTTGGTCATTAACATAAAGTGGATCGGAGTCAGGTTATATGTAAGGGAATTTATGGGCAAGTTCATCTGCAGCACATATTTCTTTAAAAATACTTCATATTAATAGAAAATCAGAATTTCCCAAAATATAATGCCAATTTTGGGCTTTCTGGACTTTGAAAAACAATGATGACATTCCTATAAAAATGTCTTAATAATAAACTTTGTAGTAATTTTTGAAATGAGTAAGCCTTATATCTCACAACTGCTGTGATAAATACTTAAAGTAAGGGTTTACCCTGAATGGTCTTCAGTCGTCACTTGATATATGTTTTACATGGCAATTTTTGTCAGCATCGTATATATTTTCACAGTTTACTCAGATATCCCTCTTTAAGTTTGCATTATTGTAAAGTGGTAACCTTCCAAAGCTCAGTGAAGCAAGTGAAAGTCACAGTCGCTGAGTATTTAAACTTCAGTGCCTTAAATAAATAGATGTCAAGACCAAAATTGAAAATCTGCTGCCAATATATTTTGTGTAAAAGCAATCAAAAGAAATATTGCTGAACAGAAAGACAAAGATAAAATCAACAGAGTGAAACCACGTCAATGTGAAACCAGTACTATAAAATTCAAAGAAGCCTACACCAAGTATTTAAAAAAGATGTAATCATAAAGCTTAATCGAAACTCACCTGTGACGTATATGAAGTTACTACAAAAATAGAAAGAACTATCTGAACAAGTACAGCTGTAGTTTTAATTATAATTTTGACTTTCTACTCTGAATTATGAGACAGAAAGTCTGCCTGTCACTTACAGTACAGTGAACTTGCAGTGACTTGCTGGATTTTCCATCCTCCTACTCCTCCTCCTGTATTTGCATTATTTTATATTGTTCCACTACCCCGGTATGAAATTTCCTCTCAACTGAAAAAAAGTACAACTTGCTTTGCAGTACAGGTGCGGCACAGTTATTCAACCACAGCTAAGTAGCACTTGACAGATATAGGTCGAGTTGTTGGTGGTTAAGATTTGAAACTGACAGTTGTTTTCATGTAATAATGTAATGGCATTTAACTAACTAGCAGTGTACATTTCCTGGAAATATTCCATTAAGACAGCTGCATAATACTATTTATTTAAAAAGTACTTCCTTCTAAAACAGTTTATTTAGTTAAACTCAAAGCCAATATTTCGTATTCTTTTTCTTAGTGTGACACTGTTTTAAGGATGAATAAAAACGAGGGAATTGTTAGTTGATCAAAGAGCGATAAAACAAACACGGATGCGGCTGCAAATCCGTTATCGGAAAAAGCTGTGAAACTTCCCAGAAACTGTGTTGGAGCTTGGATCAGCTCAGTGTTTTCAGATTATTACATTTACAATGCAGTTTGATTTTTCGTCAATCTGTGAAAATCGTCAGCCAGATTTTCAAAACAAAAATGTAAACGTTCCCTAGGATCCACTCTCTCAAACCTCAAAGCTCTTTGTGGCGTTTTTCAACATATTGGATTTTATCCAAACTTTAAAAAAAATATTCCTACAATTTCTTCTCCAGTTTCAAAGAATTTTACAGACAGTCATCACAAGACTATTTTCACTAATGACGAAATGGCAATCACAGTTTTCTCAACATGCAATAGTGTTAAAAATGCCGTTTTCTGCTCTTTCCCTTGACGTCTCGAATGACTTGTAAATCATGAGTCACTGTTAAGTTCAAAATAATCTGATGGTTGTGGAAATGTAATGATGACTTCTAAGATTTACAAAAATGTTTGATTTTCAAAGCATCATTAAAACAAAAATCAACAAATGTTTGTTTTTTAAAAATTCCTATATTCAACGTTGTTGTAAAATCCAACTTCGTATCTGTTTCACTCTCGTCTGTTTCCTTCTCTTTTTGTCTATGACCAGTGAGATCCAGTTACACGTCTGGGCATGATGAAAGGGAATGAATGACTACGCCCACGAGACTTGGAACCAGACACGACAGGGTTGAACTACAGTGGCGCTTCCCAGTCGTGACTGACCTGAGACGCAAGTTGAGAGCAGTGCAGGGACTGAAAGCTAAAGGAAGAAATTAACATGAGCCAGTGTTTGATAGTGACCGACTGAGTGTTTATATTATGCTTGCTCTTTAAACTAACCAGAAGTTGGTTGGTGAATGAACCCAAACTAATATTCTAAATGATCTGTAACCAAATTAAAGGCACTTAAAATCCTAAGTGTGTGTATAAATGTACCCAATAATCTCTTTAGCCCCTTTGTTTGATTTACCTGCTGCAGTTAGGTAGATTAGACGCATGATATGGTCTTGCTATTTGAAATGTTCAGCCTTTTTTAACATAGCATCCATGCACAGCTGCCAGATGGCAACCTTTTCTTTTATTTTCCATTCTTATTTTCACAAATATGGAGCTCCTTTATGACACTCATGTACACTGACAAACATGTTACATGGTTTAAGCAAAGATTTAAGATTGGGGGGGAATTTTATATTTAAGTAAAATCAGTGTAGCAGAAATGTGAAGTAAATTGACAAAAAAAACCCCACGCTATAATACTAGACCCAGTGTCTTTGTGGTGTATGTTTCTTGAGGAGGAATGGAAAAGAGTAAAAACTGAAAATAATCTTTTTATTTGCAAAATAGTCACACTTTAAAACAAAATTCAAATAGAAAACAGAGTATTTACAATTTCCCAGAATCATAAGTAAAATCATTGATTAAAAATGTTAGCGCATACATTTTAACCTAGATTTTTATGCAGCCTCATTTCATGATGTTGTTTTTACAAATAATATACATAAATTAAAAAAATCATCATGAATGTATACTTTTCTGGTTGTTCCTCTTTACAGTTTTTACATGTTAATTTATATATTTTTTCTACATATTTACAAGTTTAATCATACATATGTACATTTCCTGATATGCCTATCGCCCAGTGTCAGCTGGGATGTTGAGGATTGTGGTAATAAAATAACTGTACGACCATTCAAGCTATTTTCATCTGCATTATTTTTCAGGCCCCTTCTGTTACTGATTGTCAGCAGTTCACATACAAACTGTGGACAATTCCGACACTGCACTGATCTGTCCATGACCAGCTGTCATCTTTAGCCAATACTTTCCACATTTCTTACACTTTTTTTTATACTCATTGCAATGTGTTACTTGAAAAGTTCCACAGAAGCTAAAGGTGACATCTCTGCTGAGAGAACATTTGGAGTTGCCTGTGCTGTAAACTTGACTCAGGGTCTTGGTGTCACTGCTTCTGATAACAGTGCCCACGATCTACCTGTGAGTGAGTAAATGCAACTGCCACATTTACATTAGAAACCAGGTACTCTCTGGTTCAATATCTGACAAACACAGATCGCCATCAGAATTACAGAAAGGCGATTGTTTCAGGATACACTACCCTCTTGCCCCGGACAGGCATGTGATACCTCAGTTCCTTCCAAAACCTAGAGGAAGGGGAGAGGGATGTTGACAGCTGTGAGTCTGTTCCAGTTTTTTCTGCATCAGCTCCACTCATGCACGTCTTCCACCTTTCCCTCGTCCTCTGGTTCTTCCACCAACACACGGCACCCTGCTTCTTCCTCAGATGACGCACTGACTCTGGAAATAGAGCCAGTTGAGCAGGCGTGATCTCCTCCAGCTCAACCAGAACCACCTGCAAAGCAGAGCTTAGATTAGACTCGGTGGAATGATTTAATACACATTAGGCAAAAGGGTATCTTTCTGTTTAAAGTTGTAGTTAGAATCAGATACAGGAAATAAACTCTGGGCTCTGAACTTCACATTAATCAGTAATTCTGCATTCACTTCTTACATTTATCATTATTATTTAATATTTTTTGATTTTGGGATAGAAGTACAGTCAGTACTTATGAAATGCCCATCAGTCCTCCTGTTACACTCATGTTTGACATCACAAAATTTAGCACAGAAATAAATTTCTCAACTGCCTCTTTAGCTGATCAGTTAGCTTGATATAGGTGAGAATGGAAATCCATACTAAAAAAATCTGATCAAGATCGGAGCCATATGAATTTGATTTGGGCATCTGCATCTAGCTCACACATCACAAAATATTATGATGTTGTAATATTTTTCCCTTATACTTTCCCTTATCTATCTATCTATCTATCTATCTATCTATCTATCTATCTATCTATCTATCTGTATGAAATACAGACTTATACAAAATTATTATAATTATGTGTTGTTGTCATTTTAGCCCATTCCTTGTGGTTTTAGGGAACACAAAGACCTCATAATGTCTGTCATACACTACGAGTCAAAAGTTTTAGAACACCCCAGTTTTTCCAAGTATTTATTGCAATTCATTACATTGAGGTCCAATGAATAGCTTGAACTGGTGCAAGGGAAGGGCTGAACTGTCAGAGGCTTAAAAAAAAGGTAAGGTTAACCAAAACTGAAATATAATGTGCATATCAGAATTATACAAAAATTGTGTCGCCTTTTTCAGGGGACACAATATATTTTAACAATTTAAAGCTGTTGTGCAGCAATTGAGATTAACCAAGCTTGATCAAGCTGAAGCTAGTGCAACTGATCAAGCTAGTGCAACTAATTCCTACAGGTGTTCCAGTTTTTCTGGATTACTTACAACCCCCTCTGTCTGCATAAAAGCAATGTTGGAACACACTGTGGTACCAAACCCTCGTGAGCATCTGTGAACAGTATTGTACTGCAGATAGTGGTGTGTTGCTACAAAAATGGCGAGAAAAAAAGGCAATTAACAATGGAAGAGAGACAGACCAGCATAACACTTAAAAATGTAGGTCTTTCCTACTGAGAAATTACAAAGAAAGGTTTCAGTGAATAAAGTTTCCTTCACCATCAAAACGCACTCAGAAACTGGGGCAAATGCTGACAGGAAGAGGTCTGGCAGATGAAACGCCGCAAATGAATCAGAGGACAAGTTTCTGAGAGCTAACATCTTGTGTGATAGGTGGCTCACAGGACAACAGCTTCAAGCACAGCTCAATAGTGGCCATAGTAAGTAATTTCAATTGAAGAGTTTGAGCTTCAGGGTTGACTGGATGAGTTGCAGCAAGAAAGCCTTTGCTATGACGTCAGAATAAGACAAAGAGGCTTGCCTGGGCCATGAAACACCACCATTGGACTACTGAAGACTGGAAGAAGGCATTATGGACTGGTGAATCAAAATTTGAAATCTTCACGAACATCGAACTGGCGAAAGGATGATTCCAAAGTGTGTGGTATCAACTGTGAAACATGGAGGGGCAAGTGTGAAGGTCTGTGGCTGTTTTGCCAAATTCATGGTCGGTGACTTGTACAGAGTGAGAGGCCCTCTTAACCAAAATGATTACCACACCATTGTGGAGTGCTATGCAATACCCTCTGGTATGCACGTAGTAGGGCAGGGGTTTATCCTACAGGAAGATAATGACCCAAAACACAAGTCCAAGCTATGCCAGAACTGCCTTGGGGAAAAAGAACGAAATGATAAGTTTGAAAACATGGAGCAGACAGCACAGTCTCCAGACTTAAACCCCATTGAGCTGGTTTGGGATGAACTGGACACAAGAGTGAAAGCAAAGCAACCTACAAGTGAACTGAACTGCAACAGATATGGGAAGAACTTTGTGAAGAATATTTGATTTTTATTGTAGAAAGAACGCCACGGGTGTGTTCAGCTATCATCTACCAAAGGTGGCAACTTTGATGAGTCAAAAGTTTTGATCTATAAATTGATTCCATGTTTGTTTGTTTTTATTGCTTATTTTTTACTATGCTTTTATTTCAGAGTGCATGAAACATTAAACAGCATCATTTTCAATAAAAAACTGGAAAAGTTGGTGTGTTCAAAAACTTTTTACCGGTAGTGTACATAAGAATGGACCTAATATGTACCTGTGTGCCAATCTTTGCTCAGCTCCTGATCGTGTAGGAGTTCATGTTTAATAGCGAGATGTACAATTGCCTCTGTTTGACATTAGTCTGATGTCTGGCAGTTTTTTCAGAGACGTGCCTCTGAAGAGTGTCTATTTCCTCACCTTGAGGGAGCCCTCGATCAGCACTCGGTGCATTGCTGCCACACACTCCAGCTGCTGCCTTGTGTCTTTACAGATTTTATCACCAACATCAGAGCTTGTAATGCTAAAGCTGTCACTGGCATTTCTTTGACTTTCATCATCGCATTCACCGCTCTTAGAAATGTTGTTATTATTACTGCTGGTGCTGCTTGTATGTCTTTTGGTGGTAAAAGAGGAAGCAGTGTAGAGAAGGAGGACACGGCGGCTGGCTTGTATGTTTTCTTCAACAGAGTCCACCATAGCTGCAGGAGGGAACAAATAATGAAAACACACGGTTAGAAAATAGGAGCTAAATAAGGGAACTTAAACTTAGCTATATGCAGCTCTAACGGTTATATTTAGAAGTTTATTCCTTTTTAAACTGAAAAGAAGTAAATGCAAGCATCGCAGCAGACAGCCAAATTGCCTTTCTTCACAAGCTAATGCAATGCTACTTTTTAACTGCATGAACAAAAAATAAATAATTTGGCTTTGCCACATATTTTCTACTTAGGAAGTCACAGCAACAGGCAAAACATTTGAAAATGAAACAAGCTGATGTGTACAACACTGGGGAATTCGTCTGTGTTTGTGCATTTCTAGCTAGCAGTTATTGTTGACCGCCCTAAAAAGGCAAGACAAGATCACCACAAAACAACTTATATAAATCCTTTCTCATATATACTCTATCTCATGCAGTTTCGTAAAGGAAGAAAGTGAAGACAAAAAGAGGCTAGCTTTTACCACCTACAGCCCATGGTATTTACTTAAAAATACACCATGACCAGCTAAACGAAATGCAAACAGAAGCTTTTTGGATAGTCTTTCAAGATTTTAAGCTTGCTACGTGTAAAACAGCCTAATAATATTTAAGATCTTGAAGTGATCTGCCAATAATGGGTGGGATAAAAAAAATCACAAATTAATTTAAAGAAAAGCATGAAATTGTTGTTATTATTATTTTTTATAATACTAAATGCCAGTCCTTCTTCAAACAGTGCAAGTTAGGCTCTGTGGTTTAAAAAATGGCTCTGGGCCACATGTCTCCGTACTGTTTGCTGTGGGTAAATTACCTTGCCCAGGCAGGCAGTCACGGCCTGCTATGAAGAGTTTGTAGTCACAGGCCCTTTCCAACACATGAGGCAGTGTTTGAAGGGCAAATGTTTCCACATCCTTGCTGAATCCGAGGTCACAGGGCTGTGGGTATGCCACATAGGCATCGTAAAGCTTCCCATCCAAGTCTAACACAAGAAAAGGAAAAGTTTATGACATGCATAGTTTCGACTAAAACCCTCAAAATTTGATCTTTCAATTAAATATTTAGAGCTTTCATCTATAAACTCAGTTATTCTAATTATTGCTGTGTTCATGCTTTGCAACAAGAAGTTAGATTTATATTGTCAGACAGTGTGCTACCAAGCAGGCAGGGACAGGTACATTGCATGTAATTTATTGCAAAATGACCCCAAGACACCAAGCCATTGGGAAACCGGCAGATATGCCTGGAGTTCACCGAGCATGTGCAGCTATCCTGCATTGTTTCTTAGACTGGAAGCAAATTGGAGACATTATGTCAAACATGTGTAAAAACATTTAAATTCACTGAATAAATTCAGCATGAAACAATTTGTTCAAGCAACAGTGTAACAAAGAAATAAATAAAGTTACCAATATGCTAACTGATGATGACAGCAAACAGTAGCTACGTTAAAGCTAATGTTCAACGTAGCTACTGCAATTGCACTTTCTTTTTGAGGTGTTACCACATCAAACTACGTGCTACTTCTGTGTTTCGCTATCTGCATATACGATTTCACATATGTCAAACTGTGTGGGTAACGCTGTTTTCCTTCTTGTTCGGGTTTTCAAACAGTACTTTTCTTACTGATTCAGCCGTGGATGCTTTCTGAAGTCTTAAGAATCATCGACTTTTAGCAAAAGCAGTCCAGTGTTTGCTATCCCTTTCTTTCATAATCAGCAAATGACATTTGATGAGAAGCAGACTAAGCAGTCCTGTGGTTAGCTTGTTTCCTTTGTTTGTTCTCGCTGCTGACACATGCAGAGTTTATGACTCTGTAGGTTGTCGTGAATATGTGGGTACTGTGTGTGAAGTAAAGGTGCAAGCTGAAAACATTGCTTGGGGTATTTCCATTGTTAAGTACTATACTGTTAGACGACATTATTGTTGCTATTGTTTTCTGTTTATAATACGTAAATCAATTGCACATTAATAACTACAAAGCTGCTGAGAACTTACCTTTATTTTTGTAGAAGACTGGAAATGCTCTCCTGAACCACAGCACTATTTCAATCTTAAAAAGGTAGTATAGGGTGACGGTGATGATAAACAGAACCATCATACCACCAAGCACAGATCCGATAGCTATGCCACTTGGATCTGTGGAGATGAACAGCAAACATACCAGACATAAAATTTTAGATTATATATTTGCTGCTGATGCACTGGCTCCAAATTCATTATGGCTTCAAATGTCTAAAAACTTACTTTTCAGTCAAATTAACATTTATATGAGATTTAACTGGTATAAAAACAGCATAACATAGCAGTGTAAAAATGTAACTGTTTTTCAGCTACTTCCTCTTGTAATGTTCATATTTTCACCAGCATCTTTGAAAGCATGAAATTTTGCCTCTGGTTTAATTATGTATATTGAGTAGATTGAGCAGGCTGAACAGCTCCCTCTGCTGGTCATAGTTCTAATAATGCCTCCGAGAACTACAATTCATGCATGTTTGTAACAATTTCTAATCCTCTACAAATAATATTTTAGATATAGACTCCTTTGTTATTTTGTTTGTTTGTCTGAATATTAGATGCTATGCTGGAGTAAGACTTTATTTACCTTGAACATGGCTCCGTTATCATGATACTAAATGTTTCTTACATGAGCCTCGTTTGCTCTTTGAGGCCTCGCCAAATCCTGGGTTTTTACTGTTATACAGGTGATTTCTTAGTGAGGTACATTACCATGATGACTTATTAAAATATGTAAAATTGTGAAAATACTTATCAAAGCTTGTTATTTGATTGACCTCAAAAGATTTTCAGATTTTCATTTTGCTGTGCGTTTGACTAAAGCGGTGCAGGTTTCATACTAAGTTATTAACAGGTCCAAGTCATAACAATTACTGTATATGAACAGTTCATTCAGCTATTTATTCAGCTGTGGGACCCTAACAGCAATTTGACTGCATTGCTATTATGAACTGTGTTCATTAAGTAGAAAGTTTGCTAATGTGTTTGGTTTAGCTGGTGGTTTAACACCTATCAAGAGGCAAAACATTTACATTGAAGGCAACATTTTCTGTATTGTAATTAACTAATTCTTATTCATGTATAAGATAATCACTTAAATGAAAAGATTACTTGATTAAGTAATTGTGAGTGGTATTCTCAAATGTAAAGCTTTGATTGCTCAAGGTTAGAGACAAACTAAAATATCATGTTTAGGGGAGACTCTGTTTTTACCTGCTGGTTGCAGACTGAAATATCTTTCAGGAAAGCCCCTGTCACTGTACGCACGGCAGGTGTAGTTGACGTAGAAGTCCTTCTCCCTTAGCTCAGAAAATATCAGCCAGGTCTCTAACCACGCACCTTTACTGGAGCCATTTTGGGGCAGCAAACTGTCGAGGACAATCAGATGAAACAGTTAAAAGGTGATGTGACAAAATGCCTGTTAAGGCAGGAGTCTCAAAAGACATCAACTCTGAACATTGGTTCACTGATAAAGCAGATCAATTAAATAGATTTAGAGTAAAAAGGTACTGACCGCTGTTCTAACATGTGGACACGGTGAGAGGTGTTAGTCTCAAAGAATCCATCTTTGTCCAACCAATAAATATCAACGAAAGGCTTCCCAACACCCGGCACAAACACCAGGCACCTTTTACTGAAGTTGTACCCTGAAAACATGTGCAAACAGTGACTCAGTATAAACATGAAACTGTATATTTAGCATTTACTCTCCCTGCAGAAGTCTGTGACTTTCAACCCAATATGTTGGCCTAAATGAAGCCTGAGATACATAAATATGAAATCAACAGAACACCACATTTCTCAGAAGATCTTAGAGGACTTACCGCTCTGTGCTTTGATTACATCATTGGAGGGTTCATGCACTTGTGGAACCAAAGAGTAATCCCCTGAAACAGAAAACATCAAATACTGTGTAGCTTACAGTAGAGGTTGAATAATCACAAAGATATAATGGAAATTGAATCATATTTCTCTTTCACAGTTTTACAGTAAGCAAACCTAAGAAACCATTATTACTAACACAACTGATGTTTCTTTTTCTGTTATTATTTTTATTGTTAAAATGAAGCGATTATGCTTTTTTCACCGGATTTTTGTCAACGTACAGTAGTGTCAAGATAGTCTTTGAGGCTTTTGGGCTGGGATGTGTTGGGCAACCGTGATTCTGTCCTTTCAACTGCGCTCAGTATAGAAGTCACGATACCTCAGCTCGCTTGCAAGTGTTTGGGAGCTGTTCTGTTCTGTTTTGTTTGTGTTTGAGGGCGTTACTGTATATGCCTGACTAACTGAAGTGGATATCACGGTCAGTTAGCAGTCAAACATAAACCTTTCTTGAATAACAGAACAAAGACACAGCTGCCCTTCTCAGCTGTGTGGGGGCTCCTGACGAGGTCTTTATCTTGTGTAGCCCAAGGCAAACACAGTTTTTGTTTTGTATTTCCCCGTCTTGTGCCACATGCTTGTTCAAGATATAACATAACAATTTTCAAAGTGAATCTGTGAATCATAATTTGAGGTATCTAGGTGCTAACCTATAAGCTACATGAGGCTTAGCGGGGGATAATTATGACACAGTCAAACCCAAGTAAATGAAAACCAAGTTGAGTGCTCGGGAATACCAGCTTTATGACTGAAGAGCATTGTGCACATCTATACAGTTACTTATTGTATCATCACTGTTATTTTATAATTCATCTTTACATATGGACAAAAAAAATCACTCTGTTGTCTTCTTCCTCTTTTTTCAGCTGCTCCCTTCATGGGGCGCCACAGCAGATCATCTGCCTCTATCTCGCCCTATCCCTATTGCCCCTTTCTGTCACACCCACCCTCCACATGCCCTCCTTCACTACATCCATGAATCTTCTCTGTGTTCTACCTCTTTTCCTCCTGCCTGGATGCTCATCCTCAGCATTATATGTCTAACATAGCCCCTTTCCCTCCTCTGCATGCGTCCAAACCATCCCAGCCTTTCCTCTTTACATTTATCTCCAAACTGTTAACATTAGCAGCCTCTCTGATATGTTCAATGCTAATCTTAATCATTTTTGTCACACCCAGTATAAACCTATATAGATCTTCAAATCCCCCAGCTCGGCCTCCTGTCTCTTTATCATTGCCACCATCTCCAAACCGCCATTATCATTATCTTCCCTCCAGTCAATACTTCCATTGCTCTAGGTTGTCTTCCACCTGCTCCCTGCTCTCACTACAGGTCTGCAAACATCATAATTCACATCATCATAATCCTGTCTGACCTCATCTTCAGCCTGTCCATCACTATCGCAAACAGCATGGTCAATCCCTGGTCCCACCCTCACCTTAAACACCTTCTATCACTTCGAATGCGCCCCGCACCACTGTCTCGTTGTCCTCATACATGGCCTCCCTCACATACTTCTTCACCATTCCTGACTACGTCATTCAGAGCCAAAGTTCCTCTCCTAGCATACAAAAGTATGTCATCTGGACCAACTGCCCTTCCACACTTCATCCACTTCATAGCCCCCTCACTTCATTTCAGTGTTTCTCTTAATCTACAATCTCACCTTTGACCTCTGCGCTAATAGTCTCTGACACAGACCCTTTGATGCCACCCAGGGTGAATGTCAGAGTACAGGTATAGGTGCCTTTGTGTTGAAGGTCCACACTGGTAATTTTCAGTCTGGTGCCCCAGTACTCATAGCTGCCTGTTCCGTCCTCTATGGGGTCACAACCCTAGAGGGAGAAACACATAAGTCTTTTTTCAAATTAACAATGCATGAAGAAAAATGTTAACTATTTAAATTGGAGAACAGTTTACAGCCACTGGGATAGTTTTGATGCTCCTAATCTGTTCAGATAGACATTTAAAGAGTTCCATGATTTTTAATATTATTAAACTGTTTGTTTCCCTTCCACAAAATTAAAGGGCACGCACACAAACACACCGAGACTGGGATCTGCTGTCAGTCAAATTGCAATTTTTAAACACTCGTATCTCCCCAGAGTTTCAATACATTCCTGGTATTGATAGAAGTTGGAATAGTGGTAGTAAATAGTTGAGGCTGCAGCTACTGTGCAGTCTCTCCATTAAAACCATTAGGTTTCATGCAGCACTCAACAACAATTCTGGAGAACTCACTCTGTACCACTTGATGGAGGAAGAGATGTTGTAGCTGTTCAGCTTATTCATTTCGTTCTTCAGAGGGCAGTTCAGATTGTCAGTGACTCCTTTTGTAAGTGGCTGATAAGCTTTCCTCGGCCTTCCACATTCTCCTGTAGGTCTTTCATCCACCACCAGTCGGCTGGCCTCCCTGTAGCAGTGGGAAGGAGTCCTGTTGGGAAATTAAGCAGAAATATTATAAATGAATAGATAATTGGGCACACTCGCCCTGGCAGTGAGGGTCATTGTTTGACCTTCTCCACAGTCAAAAATCAAACAATATTAATATTA